GGTGAAAATTTCATGTCATTAGCACCTCTAGTAATATATTTACTGAGAAAAATGGTGACGTGTTCAATACTTATTTTACCCGCTGTATCTTATTGCTCCATTTTTAGCAATTCACCCTCAGACTGAGAGTTTACTTGTGATTCCTTGAGTTTCTAGGCTCCACTCTTCTGCATTCATGTCAAGTTGTAYGGATTGTCAGTAATTTACAYAGATTTTCCGTCATTTWGTGGGTATATGGATGTATAGAGCAATCTCACGGATTTTTTCAAAAACTCWTTTTCAAAYTTATTCAAAATGTCAGAGCCTGTAGGACRTTAAAAAAACCTAATGACATCAAATATCCATTTCCAACCCACTCTACTGCTAGACATAAGTTTTTCTGTCCTCATTTCCTTCYGATTTAGCTGCAGCCGACAGTCCGCCTGCACCCCACCCCCTCCCCTCCATGGCTGATGGTAATACAGATTTTTGAGGCTCATTATACAGGTAAACGTCTGAAGGGGTCGACATGATTGCTTTTGGAAMCAACTTTCAATACTGGTCTACTTTTAGACCAGGGTAAAGGATTTATTTTTTAATAAATCCTATAGTTAGGGTTRTTTGGGTTTCCTYGGCTATCCCTTAGTTGTGCTGCTGTAGACTTAGACTGCTGAAGAACAAACTGGCTCGCTTCGCTCTACTCTCCATGTTTGTAATTATTTCTATCATCAACATGTTTTTCTGTCTTCTCAGAGAATCTACACCTGGGGCCTCAYGTACAAAGACTTGCGTGGATTTCTTACTGAAACGTGGTGTGYAGTCAAATCCAGAAAACGGCGTACGCACAAAAAAATCCAGATGTATCAAACTGTGCGTACGCCTGAATCCACGCACGTCTTTTGTACACTGCAGTGACTGCAGTGTGAATGCTCATGTCACATTCCATCTGACTTTTTCATCAGGAGGAGGGGGTGAAGGATCGATAAAACACTAACCTCAAGTCTCACTGTTTAAATCTGTAGCTCCATGTGTTTACAGCTCCAAAACACAAGTCCAGTTGCTTCATCTTTTTACTTTTCATTTTCCATGTAGACAGTTTGATAATAACGATGTCCAGCCTGGGTCGTGGAGAGTATCGATCGTTGGTTACGTATTGTAACCCCAGATTCTATGAGTGTAAGCGCAGCCCTCTAAGGCTATCGCAGATGGGTACCCC